GAACCTCAAAAGTTTTCAGCTCTGCAATGACTGATTTGATCTTGGCAAGATGAGCTATCATGGAGGGCTCTTTGGCCTCGTAGCTGCCACTGATCTGATATGCAACTAGCTGAGAGTCTGTTTTTAGGCAGACATGATCGGCTTCCAGGGAGATGCACAATTCTAGGCCGGCGATTGCTGCCTCATACTCGGCTTCATTGTTCGAGGCCTTAAAAGAAAACTTTAGTGCATACTCAAAGGATTTGCCTTCGGGAGAAGTTATCACTACTCCTGCCCCCGAACCGTTTTCGGTGGAAGATCCATCCGTAAACACGGTCCAGACTTTCTTTTCACTGTCTAGCGCTTCTTGGTATGAGCATTCGGCCAAGAAATCCGCTAGAGCTTGAGCCTTAATGGCAGCCCTCGGACGGTAGCTGATGCTGAATTCGGTGAGCTCAAAAGCCCACTTGGCTAGCCTACCAGATTTTTCAACCTTGCCGAGAACTTTTTTCCAACGGCTGATCAGTTAATACCACTATCTGATGGCAATCAAAATAGGGCCTCAGCTTCCGAGCAGCTACTACTACCGCGAAAGCAACTTTCTCGAGTAGAGGATAGCGAGTCTCGGCATCCGTCAGTGTATGACTGACGAAGTAGATCGGTTGCTGGCTTTTACTTTCTTCCTTCAGCAATACTGTGCTGATGGTGGCTGGGCTAACGGCCACATATAGGTACAAAGTTTCTCCTTCAGCTGGGCTAGCCAGCGTTGGGAGTTGAGCCAGATGCTCCCGAAGCTGTTTAAAGGCGTCTTTTTGCTCTTCCTCCCAAACGAGCTCTTTTGTTTTCGGGAGTTTCAGGGCTTTGAAGAAAGGTAACCCCTTATCCGAAGCTCTGGAAATGAACCTCGAGAGGGCTGCCATTCTTCCGGTGAGCCGCTGAACATCCCGCTTCGTTTTCGGCTCAGGAAGGTCGAGCGCCGCTTTGACTTTAGAGGGATTGGCATCAATCCCCCTTTTGCTGACTATGAACCCAAGGAATTTCCCTGACTTCACGCCGAAGACACACTTCTTCGGATTCAGCTTCATTTGATGCTTTCTCAAGGTGGCGAAAGTTTCAGCCAGGTCCTTTACATGGTCCTCTGGTTTTTTGCTTTTGACGATCGAATCGTCAACATAGACTTCCATGTTTCGGCCCTTTTGATCGGCGAAAACTTGATCCACCAGCCTTTGATAGATTGCCCCCGCATTTTTCAATCCGAAGGGCATCATTTTGTAATTGTACACCCCAGCGTTCGTGACGAATGCTGTCTTTGCTCGATCGTCGGGGTGCATAAAGATCGGATGATACCCCGAGAATGAGTCCATGAAACTAAGCAAGGCATGGCCACTTGTCGAATCGACTAGCTGATCGATCCTCGGCAAGGGATAGAAATCCTTAGGACAAGCCTTATTTAGGTCCGTGAAGTCAACGCACATCCTCCAGGTACCATTGGGCTTCTGAACCATCACCACATTTGCCAGCCATTCTGGATATTGGCAAGGTTCGATGAATCCTGCATCCAACAATTTTTTGACCTCGGCTGCGATGTCTCGGTTCTTATTGGCGGAGTAATTCCGCTTCTTTTGCTTAACTGGTCGACACGTTGGGTCAACATTAAGCTTATGGGAGATGAGGTCTGAACTTATCCCGGGCATATCAGCTGCCGAGAAAGCAAACATATCTCTGTTGTCCCGAAGGAGCTGAATAAGTTCACATCGGGTGTTCGGATCAAGGTCCATCCCGATTGTTACACATTTCTCAACGTCTCCTTCGGTCAACTCAACTGTTTCAGTCTGTTGGTCCATGTCCATTGCTGATGGACTGGACTCTTCATAATCTGGCCTGCTGCCAATGTCAGCAGGTGTCCCAGTCTTTTTGTTCTTCGGCTGGCTCTCTGAGTCTTGCGGCTCAGCTGAAGAGCTAGCCTTTTCCCTTTCGGGCCCTTTACCTCTGGGTACAGATCCTTGGGCCGAAGCACTTAGGCCTTTCGGCTTTTTTGTGCTCGGCTCTCTTTCTTTTTCTTTCTCCTCCTCATCCTTGTCATCTGGGCGACTATTGGATGGTTTGAGGTAGTTGCACCTTCGGGCGTCCTTTTGGTTGCCCTGTATCCTTTCGGGGAAGCCGGCGTCTGAGACGTAAATCATCAGCTGATGATAAGTTGAGACGACCCCTTGGATCTCGTGAATTATGGGTCTCCCCAAAATCACGTTGTACACTGAAGGAGCGTCGATGACCAAAAATTCAATCATGACGTTCCTGGCTGCCTCATCGCAACCGATGGTGACAGGAAGTGTCACCTTCCCATCTGGATAAGTTGAAGCCCCATTGAACCCGGATACCGGGTAGGGTACCGGCGTAAGATGCTTGGGCTTCAGCTTGATTTGATTGTAGGCCTTTCGGAACAGAATGTTTGCTCCACTGCCACCGTCAACAAGGACCTTACTGACGTCGTGGTTGGCCACCGTGGCGATGATCACCAACGGATCCTCGTGAGGGAACGTAATCCCCCGGCAGTCGGCGGCTGTGAACGTCATGTTCGGCACCGGCGACTGGGGAGATTGAATGTCAGCGTTGTTCACCTGGTGAGTCAAAGCTCTAAGGTGTCGCTTGTGCTCCCTTCGAGAGTATATTCCTCCCGAGATAACATTGATCGGAGGGAATTTCCCCTCCGGCTTTTTACTGTTTTTCCGGGGGAAGTCGAGGTCTTGTCGAGAGTCCTTTGCTGACTTCTCGGATTCTTTTTTCTCGCGGTGATCCGCGATGTATTTTTTCAAGTATCCCTTCCGGACCATGTCCTCTATCTGGTCCTTCAGTTGGATACACTCCTCAGTGTTGTGTCCCGAAGACTCGTGGAACTCGCACCACTGATTTTTATTTTTTCGCTGATACCACTCTGGGAGTGGTCTCGGCTTTCGGTAACTCTGCTCCTCCTTCGTCACGCTGTAAATTTTGGCGCGTGGAAGAGAGAGCGGAGTGTAGGACTCGTATCTGCCTGTGTATGAGGCAGATCTTTCCTTCTTTGGGTCGCTGGCCAAAGATTACTCCGAGGCCTTTGACTTTCCCTTTGCCTTATGGCCTTGGCCTTCAGACAAGGGTATTTGCCTTTGTTTCCCTCCCCCAAATTGAGGTTGGGTTTTCGCTTTGTTCCATTCTTCGGCTCGGATGAACTTGTCCGAGGCATTCAGAGCTTCCTCCAAGGTCTGCGGGGTATGCATGACCATGAAGTCTAGGAAATTTCCGGGCTGAAGGCCATTCTGCATTGCAAAAACGGCTAGCCCCTGGTCCAGCTGAGAGACGCTGGATGACTCGTTACTGAAACGGGTCAGATAGTCTCGGAGGCTTTCGGTTTCCCCCTGTTGTAGACTCATGAGCTCTGCAGTAGTCTTCTCTCGGCGGTTTGCCGTGGAAAACTTGCTCCTGAACTTGGAGGACAGATCATCCCACCCTGTTATGGAGCCTTGCCTTACTCCCTTGGAGATCCACGCTTGCGCGACCCCCTTGAGAGTGATTGGGAAATATTTGCACCAAGTCGCCTCGGATCTGGGGCAAAGATGCATATGAGTCTCATACGAGGCCACGTGATCCTTCGGATCCGAGGTCCCGTCATATGTGATGTGCGACGGTATTTTAACCGTGGGTACGCGCTCTTCCAGTATCCATTGCTCGAATGGTGAACTGGCGGGTAGCATAACGGCCTTGCCCTTGTTCCTGGCCGAAGGGACCGCGCTCCGCCCTCTTAGAGAGGTAGGAGTGGTTTTCGTCCCTGGCTGGGAAGTCTGGGCCTCGGCTGCAGGGAACGAGAGGCAACTGCGCACGCTCGGTTCCTTGCCGCCGAGTCGGTCAAGGACGCTTCGGCGAACAGTCTCAGGTTCTCGGTGAGTAGATTCTGGCCGAGAAGCTGAGCTGTTGCTCTTATGCGCTTCTGGTCTTGAGGATGAGGATCCTTTTAAAAATTGAGGGTTCTTTTTCCTCTCTTTTTCATTTTTCCAGGAATCCTCTTCCCACTCTTCCAGTTCCCGGAAGGAAGGAAGCTTCCTACCATCATGGTCTAACTTCCTCCGCTGATGCCGGGTATGCGGAGGAGTTCGATCACGAGGTGGTGGCATATTTTGTGCCCTCATCGCCTCCATGAGCACTGCCAGCGCTCTTGCCACCTCTTCCGAGCTGGGCCCCGTCAAAGGGGTCCTCGGCCGAGTATGGGAATGAGGGCGCACAGCCGATGGTTGGCTTTGGGGCACTGAATGTGTCCTATGATCTGATTCACCCCTGCTAGACCGAGAGTGACTCGGCCTATAATGAGAGTCATGAATTACGGGAGAAAGGGAATCCTCCTTGTATGATCCTCCCCCCGAGCTGGCACCCTTGGGAGAGTTCCGGTCCGGCGAGGGTGATGGTGTAGGGGTTTTAGGCTTTTCACCCGCTCCTTGACGGAGGCTTTTGCTCTTGCGGTTCTTAGCCATTGCTACTAAGATAATTGCAAGATGATCTTGGTTAGAAATTTGGCTTAAAGATTTTTGTGAACTCCTTCCCCACAGACGGCGCCAACTTGTTTCGGGTGAAAACAATGGGACCTTGCCGAAGGTCCGCTGAAACGGAGAAGACTGGATTCGGTCCAAGTTATGCTGGGCCGAAGGTTTCCTGCACAGTAAACACACGTAAACTAGCCTCGGGGGTGTTGCCGAGGAAGGCCCCTCCGATGCTAAAGTCAGTACAATGTGTAGAAAGAGAACACTATGCAAGAGAATTAGTTGCTTGAGGCTTTTCTTGAATATATGAGAATATATGAATCTATATATGAATGTATGAATATTGATGGCTTTTATACCTCTTCACACATGGAGAAGTTGGGCCTTAGCCCAATTGGCTTGCTTTGAGGGCTGACCTTTGACTTTAGCACAATTGGAGAGTTGAACCTTGACCTTGGGCTTTTAATTGGATCATTTAATGCCTAGGCCCAATTGGACTAAATTGGACCCAAACAGTTACTACATTACATTTTCTGCCATTGATGAAGATACCGGCTGTATTGCTACATACCAAGCTGCACTGGCAGTTCGATATCCAGTCTCCATTCTCGGCTTCTTGAGAGATGTTGATGCCAATAAATTCCTCTCTATTCTTTCAATCAAAGGTATAAATTAATTTTATTACCTGTCGTTGGAATAATAATTAATACTCGATCAAAAGTTGCATACAATATGTACTCATAGTCACTATTATTGTCATTAGCATCATAGGGTTTAATTGGGAAGAATTAATTAATTAATTAATTGATTGATTGTATTTCCACCTTCTTATGCCTAATCATGTAATAACAATGATTCAGTAAGTTGATAAGCTGATGTACATGCGAATGATTGATTCTAGTGTAATCACAAATCACAATTAAGCAATATGTTGTTTCTGTCTGCTAATGTTGATGTTGTAATTTGATTGTAATTCTCTAACTTTAGTTTGCTTCTTAACGAGCACTCACGTTAAGCTCATGTACATGCAGGGGCAGAAGAAGAAGCGAATTATAATTTGAATTTTCGGGCATCTATCCTAGCTGAACATCAACTCAATGCTGAATCAAGCAGATGTAACAGTGTCAGCTCTGCATCTCATGATATACATGCAGGGGTAGTAGAAGAAATGAAGTATAACTTGATTGATGGGGCACCTTCCTCACCTAATAATCTAATACTTGTCGAGTGAAAGATGAATCAAGCAGCTGTAGCAGTTTCAGGTCTGATAGTGGTGCATCAGAGATGTCATGGGTGGCTAATGAACCGCGTGGGTATAAGTTGAAGCCTGAATAAAGACTCCAAACTGAGTAGCAGAGGATTTTATCGACCTATGAATGTATGGGAATTGCTGTGAATGGGACTAGTTGAAACAGCTTCCTGCAATCAAACTCTGCTTCTTTTACCTTAATTGCTCATTATCATTATGTTGTGACAAATACCTCTTGCTACAACTATCTTCTGTTACTATGCCTTATACTAGTAATACTTTGTTGCAATACACATTTTATGATCATTTTTTTCTTTGAAAATTTTCAGGTCTACATTTATATCTTTTTCTTTATTGTAATTAAATGAGATAGCATGTTGGATCCTGATTATAGTGTAGCGTACATATCGAGACAAGGATAAATGATAACCTGATTAGGTCCAGAAGTTTTCTCAAAAATCTCCCCATCATTCATCAACAATAGACAAAGTTTATAGACAACGCAGATCTGTCTTAATAAACTTACTAGCTGTGCTGATTTCGTGACGTTGAGGCCCTTGAGGGCAGTTATAACCATCATTACAATCCGCATTAGCCTCTGTAAGCAGGAGTTTGGGATAGCCTATTAGCCTTTATCTTGGCCCTTCAGGGCAGTCATAACCATCATTACAATCCGCATTAGCCTCTGTAAGCAGGAGTTTGGGATAGCCTTTATCTTGGACACGCCTTCAATGATCTTGGTTTTGTAGATCACCTTGTACAATTCCTGATCAATTTTGTCTTTCCACTTCAAGCCATTACCTATAATGTATTCCCTTAGAATTGTCAGCACCACTTCTTTCCCTTTTTATTGAAAATACGAAGTAGGAGAGAAAGTTTTATTGAAAATATCTCCGATGAAGGGAATAATGAGGTTTGGGAAGAGAGGAATGCGGCTAAGCCCGAAGTACATTGGACCCTACAAGATTATCCAAAGGTTGGGAAAGGTAGCCTACAAGTTGGATTTGCCTAACGAGCTAGAAAGAGTTCACAGCGTGTTCCATGTGAGCCAAATTCGGAGATACATACCAGATGTTTCCCATGTTTTACAGCCTGAAACTATATCGAAATGGGCGGAAACTTGACTTATGAGGAAAGACCTGTGAAGAATTTGGATAGTAAAGTGAGAAACACTAGGAACAAGCTAAGGATGTTAAAATAATCAAGGTTTTATGGTCAAACCATAAAACCGAGGAAGCTACTTGGGAAGCTAAAGCAGATATGAGGAAAAGATATCCAGAGTTGTTTTCTGTCAGTAGTCGAGTTACGGGGGCATAACTCCTTTTAAGGGGGGTAGAATGCGATAGAGTATCGCGCTTTTGCCATTATTTTTGGTTAGTTTTTGAGTCATTTTGAGTTGTTATGTGTTGTGCTTGATCATAATTTGAACCGTTCTGAGTCATTATAAGTTGTGCATGAGTCAATTTGTACTAACTTGGATTATTTAACCAATCTTTTACTCAAGTTTCGAGGTCGAAACTTCTTTTAAGAGGGTAGACTGTAATACCTCGTATTTTTTAAGCCACTTATTATTAACTATGAATTTTTCCGAAACATTTTATTATTATACAAAAATATTAATATGATTTTACGAAGATAATTTCATAATTATACTTTATAAAGGCTTTAATTATACGAGTCAAAGTTAAAATTTATCATACCCAAATATCGGAGTTCAATTGATAATATTTTTCCGGGTCAAGAAACCTTGTTTTCAAATTACAAAATATCAATTTCATTTCTTAAACCCAAACACATATTTGTAGTACACTAATACTACACAAAGCCAATACTCCAATCGATCTAGCCATCTTTCTACTTCATCAAATTGGCATGTATCAAAAAATAAACAAATAAATAAATAAAATTTATGGAGCTATGTCGGCAAGAGGGGGAAAACCCACCCACTTGCTTCCTTCATTGATGAAGGTTGAACAAGGAACACTACCTTCCCTATAAATAGCCATGGGAACATAATCTACTTCACCATCTCCTACTTCCTCTTCTTACTTTCCTTCTCCTTTCTCCTTCCTCCTCCATATTCACCTTCTTTTAGCTTTCATTTTGTGGTCTTGAGCTCCTCACGAGCACCTCCTTGCTGCCACCTTGCTGCCGCCACGCACTCGACCACCACCTTGCCGCCACCTCCTTCCTTGTTGTTGTTGACCGCAAGTCCCAAGCTACTACCATACTTCTTTAACTTTCTATCTTGCACTACTATGTCCTACTACTACTACTACTACTAAGTACTAGTAGTACTACTACTATTCCTACATCTATGTACTACTGCTACTTCCTGTCATTATTATTATTATCATTATTATTATTATTATTATTATTATTATTATCTTTAATGTGAATTCTTAAAAATTTATAAAAACAAATGTTAAATTTTTTTTTAAAAAAAGGGTTAAAATAATCAATTGTTCGATCATGCACAACTAGTCAAATAAAGTCGGTATTCTAAGTCCTCGTGTCCATGGGTTCGAAAGTATTTGATTAGGATTATTGGTTTGTTATAGGAGGAATTTCCGGTTCGTAACTAGGAACCCCGTGTTTGTTTTGCAAAGATCGAGGTACGTACACGTGGCTAGATCTTTTATAAAATGACTTTTATATGCAACGTGATTTACATGTTAAGTGATTTCGAACCATGTTTAAATGATTGTGAAATATATTTCGGTGAAACATGTTTTAATCGTTTAATCTTAAGTATTTAAATATTTTATACGATTGATTATAAACTTGTATTGGTATTCAAGATGTTTAAAAAAGAAGTTTTATTGTTGATATTAACCCGAGTACGGGATATTGAAAAGTTTATTTATCAGGATTTATTCCTTGGATCTTTGGATTTTTAACTCCCACTATGCGGAGTAAATTGAAGACTATGAACTTTGAATGACCTAGTCTTTCACTCTTTCCCCTTGATAGCACTATGTAAAGGAGTTACTAGCTTGGGGGTGTGCACACTTAGATGGGAAAATGATTTATGAAAATATGGATTGATCCATCCTATTCGGAATTATCTTTGGAAAGTTGGTTATTTCGGAAATTGGTTCTTTTGACAAGCTTTAATACATGAATTTCTATTCATGAATGGTTTGGATAAATTATGATTTATTAAAGTCAATTCTCTTCGAAAGCATATTTAATTAATTAAATTAATTTTACATGTCTAGCATTTGTCTGTACTTTTTTTTTTTTTGAGACAATAGCATTTGTATGTACATAGTATCTTGGCTTATACGTATTTGTTTTATTTTGGCTTCGCCCTACTTATCATTAATGATGAGTAAATAGGTGATGGCAACCAGACGACATGAATTATATGCTGCATTGGGGACGATGGGTGGTGATCACCTAGTTTAATTTAGTCAACATAGTATCAATGTTTTAGTTGCTCTAGAAGTGTTTCAAAACTATTATTATCATTAATAAAAGATAAGTACTATTTTACGCTGCAAAACTTTGTTAAGCTTTACGTAATCACGTGGCGGTAATACTCCCAATTTACTCCCTAAAGTTGGATTATTATTGTTAAATATTAGAGAGTAATTTGGGGTGTTACATTGAAAATGAACATATATACATTTATATGTGAATAACCATGTGTATTAATATTGTACTATGTAATAAATATCTATCAAAATGAATAACCATGATTTGTTGCTATTTTTATGAACCAACTTTAATAATTTGTTGCTAAATTTAAGAACCAACATTCATAATTTGTTACTATTTTAGGAACTAACATTAATAATTTGTTGCCAAAGTTGGCAAAGAATGCACCAAAAACAACAACCATTATGGAAACTATATTTAAATAGATGCAATATTGCAACAAAATTGTTTTGCAACTGGTAGCCAAAATCCCATGGTTACAAGCCTTTAGCAACAACAAATTTTCGTTTTCAACTCGTTGCTAAATAAAGTTGACAACAATTTTTTTGGTGAATAACAACAAATTTTAGTTGATGCTATATTGACTTAATTTTGTAGTGATATAAAAATAAATGAACATCTTATTCATTAATATTGCAATGTACATCTATTAAAATGAATTGATCTAAATGAAAATGGATATATGTTAATATGAAAATAGATATTAAAATATACAATACGATTCCACACATATTATTAAAGACAATAAACTTCTCGATCCGAATTTGAAAAATTCAAGCTCATGTTGTTGGTTCATGTTGCTTGACGAATCCATGCCTTCTAAATCTCCTTATTTCGGTTGTCTTCCTTTTTTTCCTTGTCGTTGTGTGATCTAACTCACTATATCCACGATTCTTTATTTAACTAATAGAAAAAAAATAAACATATAAATTATTGTATTAGATTTGAGCAAGATCATAATAAATGTTAAAATGAACCAATATTTATATGAATATAAACACGAGTAAATACATACAACAATTGACATGATCGATATGACAATGAACATCTATCAGTAAATAAATGAATATATATATCAGTATGAAAATGACTTATCGATATGAAAATGAATAACTATTAACACATAAATTAACATATTTACGTAATTCAATATGAAAATGAACATCCATTTCTTTATAAATGAGCATAGATTAGTTTGAAAATGATCATGCATGAAAGATAACAATTGATGAACCTGAAATATATACGTAAATAAATTCTTGAAGCTATCAATATGTGATTGACCATGTATTCATATGAGAAAAAACATATATTGAAACAATTCAAAATTGAAATGTACATGAAACATTTGAAATAGATAACAAAAAATATGAAGAATTATAAAAATTCTTATAATCGTATGTTAATTTGTGAAATTGTGAATGACCATGTACTATTATGTGATTGAACATTTACCAAAATAAAAATGAACATTCATCAAAATAATTCTCTATTTCAAACTTTGAAAAAAATGAATATTATTACACAAATGACTATAAATTATTAAATACATGTGAATGGACATTTGTATTAATTATCTTTTTTTTTTTTTTGAAAATGTATTAATTATCTAATTATATGTAAATGAGAGTTTTTTCAAAAATAAAAAAAAGTAAAAAAAAAAATAAAAAAAAAAAACAAAAAAAAACATGTGAACTATAGTATACTAATGTATAAATGAGCATTTATCAAAATGGAAATGAACATTTGTCAAAAGAAAAAATTCACTACAAATTAATTTTATTAATACTTATATTTTTCCAAAATCTTTGTTTTCCTTCTCTGGAACTTTTTTTCGTTGTACAAAAAAAAAAATGTAGAATGTACTGATTTGATTTACTAGTTTTTGAACAAAAATTACTAAAACTATAGTAAATATTTACATTGATGCATTTTCCGTAGTTGATGTTTCAATTATTGTTTTGAAATACGATTACAACAAAAATAAATTAGTAAAACTTAGGTTTCATACTCTCTTTTGAACCAAATATGAACAAAACCACTTATTCTTTCGAATTTAACCTTGTTTTGTTGAATTTTGTAGTGATTAAACAATTTTTATTGATAATTTGTCTCAAATTCGTAGAAATTTTGGGTTTGGAAAAGAAGTTCAATGAGTATTAGAGAGAAAATGCAAAAATTGGGTGTAGAGAGAGAAAATGGGTAAGGAGAGAGAAAATGAAATGAAATGGTGGTTTGAATTATTATTTTTTTTTTTATTTATTATCTATAGGTGGGTAAAAAATGTTGTTAATATGTAGTTACTACACAATTACATAAAGTGGGGTTGTTAGGTTTGTTTATGCGTTGTTTAGGGGGGAGGGTATAGAAATAAATAACTACATTAGAGTCTAGGAGTATATAATTAAATTTAGTCAATCAGAACAGACCCTATATAGTCCAAAAATAAATCAACAACCCATGACGAATAGTGAGTAGGTGATGACTTTGAAATCATATCGTTCCCATATCCACCAGTTCGCCCCCATTACTAAGCGGGCCCGACTACCGAACCACACCACAGATGTTCTACGGCTCCAACCCTTTCTCTCTCCTCTTTGGTGAACCCCTTGCGGCCCACACAACCACCACTTCACCGCCAATTAGTCATTCGCAAATTAAAATTAACTGAATGAGAGCGCCACCACAACAAGGTACTCCTCCTAATCTCTTCAACTTTTTCAACCTTTCCCAATTTATTTTATCTTCTTAGTTCTTTCTTGCTCCATTGAAATAACAAATATGGCTTCAAAATTGATTCTTGTAGCACCTCATGAATCCCCAGATCAATTAGAAATCTCTCTAAGAGAAGCTTATAATCTTCTTTTACCTAAATTAACACCCCCATTAAAGCTAACTATCCCTTCCCCTGAAGAGTACTTAAACCTTAATAAAGCAATTGTTTATGGGGTTTTATGTGAACCCAATTTGGCCAATATTCATATGAAATACTTACATGCTATTGTAAATGATGGGTATTGTTTGTTTATCAATTTACTTTCACAAATTGTTGATGGGTTGTATTCAAAGATGTTGGAGTTTCCTAAAGTTCAGTTGATTTGGGTTGCTTCTGTTATGATTGATGTTTCTGGGATAGGTTTTGATTGTTTGTTGGTGTCTCTTTTGAGGCAAATTGTTGGTGGGGATTTTAGTGATGGGAATTTATGGCTGAGCTTTGAGATGGTTAATCTGTTTTCCTTGAAATGGGATTTGATATTGAATGAGGAACCCCTAGTGTTGTCTTGTGCTTTGTATACATATCTTAGGTTATTGGCTGATCATTATCGTCTAGCGTGTAGTCCGAAATTGAATGAGTTAAAGAGGAAGGAGATTGAGTTTTGTGTTAGAATGTTGAGGGAGCAGTTTCATTTGTGCTTGAGGATTGGGAGGGATTTAGTTCGTCTTTTACAGGACTTGGTTCATATCCCCGAGTTTCGAGCTATATGGAAGGATTTGTTGTTGAATCCAAGTTCGTTTGGGACTACCGGGTTTTCAGACATTTCTTGTATTTATGGCATGAGGACATCTAGTAGGTATTTCTTGCTTAGAATAACTCCTGAAATGGAGACTCAGTTGCGGTTTTTGCTTACCCATGTAAAGCTGGGGTCTCAGAGAAGGCACCAGGCATGGTTCACTAGGAAATTCCTATTTGTGCCAGAAAGAGAGACGCTTGTCTCCGACATTGTTCGTTTCATTTGCTGTGCACACCATCCCTCCAATGAGATACTTCAATCAGATGTGATTCCAAGGTGGGCTGTTATTGGTTGGTTGTTGAAATTATGTTCAAAGAAATACTTTGAAGCTAATGTGAAGCTGACCTTGTTTTATGATTGGCTTTTTTTTGATGAAAAGGTGGACAACGTTATGAATATTGAGCCTGCAATGTTATTGATGGTGAACTCTATACCTAGGTACATCGATATGACCAATTCTCTACTAGAATTTTTGTTACTAGTTGTAGATAACTATGATATGGACAGGAAAAATGTCATTTACAAAGGTATGTCATCTGCTATAAGTATGCTAGTCACTAAAGGAGTGATTGGTTCTCTTGACATTTTTATTTCTTGCAACGTTCTGTCTCCTTTGGTCAAAGAGATGCTTCAAAAATTTATATTCGAGGTCGAATCTGGAACCTGCAAAGAGCCTAAGGGCCCTCAGCCACCTGGAATTCTTTCGTCTGATATGTCATCCCAGACTTTGCCTAATCCACCTGATCTGGCAATACAGGAACATTTATCTGAAGGACTTCCTGCATGTCATAGAAATGATGAACTGAATGCTCAGCACAGCTCTGTATTAAAACCAACTGATTCAGCTGCTCCGTTCGACGAGAGCCAAGTTGGTAATTTGGCAAATTTGATCGGCAAAATAGGAGAGTTCATGAAAAGCTCAAGCAGAAAAGGCCAGCAACTTGTGGAAAATATTCTGCTTTTGTACATAAATCCTGCCAATGAAGATAAACTTGGTGGTATTGGCTCTGACTATTTAGCATGTGAATTAAAGAAGGAGCTTGAGTTGGTTGGCTACAATCTTTTTTCACCTGCTGGAAGTCTTCTAAACAGTGATGATGAAGTTCAATCTATTACAGCTGTGATCATTCGTACATTCATTATTTCTCAACACCAACGGATCAAAGAGATGCTATTCTGGTGGTCAAGGAATGGGTGTTTAGTTGGAGCCCGCTTGTTGTCATATGCATTGAGACTTGCACACGAAGCTCACGGAGCTGGCTATGGAGTTGATTATACCAGTGAGATCACATACAAAAATATGCCCTTGCTAAAGTGTCACATTGAAGAGTATTTGGCACTAACATACCAAAATGAGGATTGTGTAAATGGAGCAACTACTCCTACCCCCGAGGTTGATAGAAAATTGATCTCCAACATGATTGATAGTGCTTTCACCTCATACAGGACTATTCTTACCCATGCTAAGGATGTTTCAAGTAAAGAAGTGTCGGATTCTGGTAAGCTCCCCTTAATGGATGTGGTGTCTAGTTCACTATGGAAGGGAAAAAGTTTGAAGTTTCTCTTCTGCAGTATCTTTTTGTATCTTCCTGATCTATCTCTTAGTGATGAAAGTGTAATACTGTTACTTGTCAGTCAGTTAGAAGATGCTGATCTTTTGTACATGCAAATGGACTTGGGATTGAAAAGGCTCACTATATTTGGTGAAGATGTTCAAAAAGTTCTTCAATTAATTAAAAGGTCTTTTTACTGGAAGCACGAAGATCAGCACAAAATTTGGAGCTTGATCAGATCAGAGCTTATTGTTAACAGGTTTCCTGTGGAGAAGTTGCTTTTGGGCTGCTTCTTTTCAACTGATTTTGATTCAAAGGCTAGTGGTATTGCTGTTGGTGGACTTCTAGCGCTATGTAGTTCTTGTGCTCCCACACCAGAAATTGTTGGTGCTGTCATGTTATTGCCTAGTGATAAGTTCCCTGATTTTGCTGCTGCCATCCTCTCCCATTGGACCATAACTAATGCATCAATGCTCTCCAATAGTGTTGCTGATTTTTTGAATAAACTTGGAAATGCGGATGGGAATGCTCCTCTTGACTTAGGCAGTGTCTTAGTCAACCAATCGGCTCTCTTGTTTTTGTTAGAGTATTTCAAAGGACAAGGTGAACGAGGAGATAACATGCTGGAAAATCTGGCATTACATTTATCAGATGTAGAAACAAGACCCAAGAACTGTATAGTTCCAATGGATACAGGATAACTCTGTTGTGCGTAAGGGTGAGTTAATAATTAGCCCTTGTGTTTGATCGTTTGTTTCAATTATAAAAGGAGAATGTTAAGATGATGCTTTTTTTACTGTTGCAGGAATCTCTGTGGTTTTGATGAGCACTGAAATATAACTAAGTGATGAATTGATCATGTAACAAGATGCTTTCCCTATGATACAGATATTGGGGCGTTAGTCATCTCTGATTTTTTGAATGCCATTTTTGGTAGGTACACCATCTTATACAACTTGGTTAAAATTAAATATGCAACACAGGTAAATTGCCCTGTTATCGTACTCCTTGTCAAGTACTCTGTAGTTTACTTCTCTGCTTGTCCCATTGTCCCATTATTTCAAGAAAATTTGGGAGGCTACTCAGAGTTGTTGCCTCTCAGTAATAATATCAAATTCTCAACTTAAATTATTGATTTTTGGTTTTTTGTTTTATAGAAACTGAAAACTGGAAACAAAAAACGATAACGAATGACCCTATAGCTTTTGTTGTGTTTTCTAGCCTCGGGCTTGTTAATACATCAAAATTATACATGTGCCCAAGCATGAAAAAAAAATGCTTCAAGCTGCTATACATGTAATTTGATGTTTGATTAATCAATTGATGGATCAGGTAGCATTACATGGATTGTCTGATGACTGGTGCATGGAAAAGGGCACTGGCTAAAGCTTCATCTCCCAAATCCCAAAGAATATCCCTTGCCTTTAGGGAAATTCAGATTTCTCTGGATTGATCTGCAATAATACTCGGCATCAATGTTGATATTGTAGAGTGAGCTGGCAAAAGGCGCCGACCTCAAGTTGTTGCAATGTGGCATCTGGCTGCTGATATTGCAACACACAAGCTTTTTGCATTTTTCATAAGGAGACTGAAACTGTGGTAACCAACAAGTTGGCCGCTGTCTGATGAGTATTAGTCTTAGAGACACTTGAGGTTTATTTTCTATTGGCTTACCCCAAAGTCGCATCAGATAAGAAAATTACAACTTATTGGTGAGCATAGGAGCATGTGGAAGTTGTGGTGAGCATCTCCACAAGTTTCTGAAAATTGGTCAGTGTTGTTCCAGATAACTTTTCTGCTATTTTTTTTGGTTAAAGATGTATAAAATTCTTCCGTTGTTGTGACAACATAGGAGCATGTGGAAGTTTCCATTCACTTAATCATTTCTTGATTATTTAATGCTTACTTAAAGATGATTCTGATGTTTGTGTTCTGTTTCAGTACAACTGTCCTGCATGTCTTCTTGTAGATGGATGTCATTGATTTGTGCCCTCTTTCTGATGATTGAGAGTAGATGTTGCTTCGAGCAATTCTCTAGGCTCTCTGGGATGGATATTGTTGTTCTTGCCAGCCTCAAAGCTCTAGATGCAACCAAAACAGCCAAAGTCAGAATATTCCATGGTTGGAATCACTAGAGGCTTCTATTGTCGACTTTTGCTATGCTCTTTAGAAACACTCACAATTGCACGAGTCTTGCAATTTCAGTTGCATGTATGTGTGAGATAAGAATGAGCTTCATGTTTTCGAATGCAGCTCATGAAGCTTGCTAATGTCCACTGTTCCGGGAAAACACCATATGGGCATATCAATCGTTGGTTCTCTACTCAATTTTTTTATGGGTTAGTTTGGTACAGTGTTCTCCGAACCCCAATAGGGTCATCTGCATTTTTCCCATACCTCTTTTACCTGTAGACCTTATCCAATCCATAAATCAAAATAATTCCTTTTATTCTATTACTGTAGTTTAATTGTATTGTTCTTTACTAGTTCAATTTAGTTCAGATTATGATCATATTCTTTGACTTGTCCTCTCCTATCTGAGTTTTGTGAATTTGTGTGATTACAGATTTTTAAAATCAGGTGTATTTTTCTTACACCATTATCCCAAATGTATAGATATATGTTTGTGAATATGCTCTATCATCGACGATAAATCATGAACAAATGAACAATACTTTACAATACAATGGAAGCCTGATTAATTACAAAACATTACCAAATGTTGATTTTATATTACGGAGTAGGATAGTTTGTCGATTTAGGTGTCTAAAAATGTCAAATATGAAGAAAGGTCCTCAGTCATTTACGTATTAATCTAAAATTTCAAAGTCATACTCATATAAAACGCAAATTCTTTTTAAAAAAACACATCACGTTGATAGCATAATTTAAACTACATGACGACCACCTGCCCTCAACGCCAAAACATTTGTTTAAGCTGGGACTCGTTCGAAGTTCCTACCTTTTCTCTCTCCAAATTACTCGCTAACTCGTCTTTTTCACACTTTCTTCTTCAAAAAGGTATCTCTTTCTCTTTCTCTCTCTTCATTCTGCCATTGATTAATGCTTCATTTTCCAGATTTTCAATTTCAGATTTGATATTTCCTGTAATTGCATCAATTTCTCATAATTCGATACATTTTTTGTTCTTAAATTCGCATAATATGATTCTCATTTGTATAAATTAATATAATCTGTTTTTAGGTTGATCATGTCGTTTTTCAGAGGTCTTTCAACTCTCTCAAAGCTTCGTTCTCGTTCTGTAAGATTTATGCTCATCATTTTGTTCGATTTTTATGTTGAATTTTTGATTAATTCTTCGATTGAATTATTAATTTTGAACTAATGTATTGTAATAATTTAGAAATTGTTGTAAGTTTACTTCATTCCCGAGTTACTGGTAGTTATTTGATTTATGTCATTGAATTTTGACTTGCAGGGACAACAATCATGTCTAAGCAATTCTGTGAGATGGATTCAGATGCAAAGTTCTTCTAGTCTGGTATATTATCTCTCTTTGTTTCAGTCAATATGTATTTATTGCTTCGCGAAATTGATGACAAATTAGCACATTTACATGAATTAAAGCAGTAGTGAAACACTATGGAAAGAACTTTGTATTGTATTGCAGTATTGATTATGCTTTTAGCTTAATTTTATCTTGCATAAGCTCAACATTGATAATAAGTGTCACTGGTCAATTTTGAGGAGTTGAAGGAAAAATAATTTACTGTAAAGTGACCCATATTGGTTTAAGTCTTGGTTAAAATGTGGTAGTTAGTTTTGAAATCTACCTTGTCAAAGTGAAGAAAGATAATGCCGACATGAATAGTTGCGCATTAGATTTCAAGATGTCGAAATGTTGCCTTTTATTTTGGTTCTCCATTTGGTTGTGTCGAGCTTATTGTGACATATTCGAATGATTTTCATATGTTGTGCAGGACCTGCGTTCAGAGTTACAAGAATTGATTCCTGAACAGCAGGTTTGTTTGCTTTATTTGTATCTTTGCATTTTCAATTGGTAGCTATCTTTGCCATATTGTTTTCTTTCCTCAGATTATCAGTACAAATTTAAATATTTATTTACACATTACAATGCAATTATCTCGTGAATGTCTAAAATTTTTATGTAATTGTATTGTTGCCCTTGGTGATCAGAGCTAGGGTTTCAGTAACTGGTAAATGAGCGGTTTATACTTTGTTAAACATTGATTTTCAAAGTATGCAACAATGTAGTTCACAATCATGAATATCTTATTGATAAATGTTCTTGAGCTTGTTTTCTTTTCTGTAGGAACGTCTGAAGAAGATAAAGAAAGAATATGGAAGTGTCCAGCTGGGGAAGATTAATGTGGACATGGTAAAATATTATCATGAATATTCTTCTCTATCTATGATACTTGGACATTCAGTAATGTCAGATTCGTTTGAACATATTAGTTATACAAAATATAAAATTAATTATGTCAAGCTTTTCGTGTCTCTTGTAAGTTTTCAAGGACCATGCCTATGTATTCATATCCATAAAGGTATCAAAATACTTGTTTGGCGTGAATATGGTTGGCCATTCTCAAATGTGGAATTTGGAATAATATTGATAATCATGTTATAATAAGTCAAATAGTCAATGTTGCAGCATTACACCTGCAATCATTTCTCTTCAAGGCCACTTTATGATGTAAAAGTTTCCCCTATCTTATTATGAATTAATGTAATAGGTGTTGGGCGGAATGAGAGGGATGCCTGGTTTACTTTGGGAAACTTCCTTACTTGACCCAGATGAGGTATAGTACTTATCTCTTGCGTTTTATTGTAAGTTCCCTCCAGTTCATTTAAACAAGGTTTTATGTAACTTCGTTTCATTGGTGGTGGTACATTTTGTAGGGCATTCGATTTAGGGGTTTGTCTATACCCGAGTGTCAGAAACTTTTACCAGCTGCAAGTCCTGGTGGAGAGCCATTGCCTGAAGGCCTTCTTTGGCTTCTTCTAACTGGAAAGGTTGTTATATATTCTTAGCCTTAGTTTCATTGGTAATACATTTTTTTTCTAATAATTGTGCTTTTCTTTGGGTCTTAATTCTGTTCTTTTCACCTCCAAATTCATCTATAATTGAACCGTAATGAGATTTAGTCTTCTGCTTTGCTGAAAAGTCTTCATCTCACTGATACACTATGTGGAGAAGGGTGACTTTTGTGTTTTGTATATCATTTTTGACATATGTGACTTTGATAAATACTTATTGATATGTTCTAAGTGGTTAATTATAAATGATATCCTAAAATGTAGAGAAGGGGCGAATTGATCTCTCTACCTTGCTCTTCTCATTTAAGGTGAAAATTACTTCGAGAGAAGAAAGTGAAATTATAGAAATATATGGTAAAAAGTTTGAGAGATGCTTCTCAATTTCTTTGTAATTACTTGTTGTAGTCCCATGCGCATACTTTGATCTATGAAACTAGCTGAATATTAGGGCCTTAGGGGTGGGATGAGTTCATTACACTGCTATTCTTCGATGTAGCTATGCCTTGATGTCTATCAAAGTCTTGTTTTCTTTTGTTGTATGCTTTTTTCTAGCTTCTTTTTGATCAATTGTATTCTAATTTTCTTTTCATTTATTTAGGTTCCGAGCAAAGAGCAAGTAGATGCTTTATCAGCAGAACTGCGAACACGTGCTTCAGTCCCAGGTTCACTATTTCACTAACAATAAAGTATTTTGACAATGTATACTTGCAATGTTTGTGCCAATTTTAGTTCCTGTTGGTGTCTGTTTTACAGATATGTTATATCTGTAATTCTGTATGAATATTCATTTTTTTGCCTTTTAAGTCCTGTTCATTGTATTATTCTTGATATCAACTGACTAATATGGTAGGTAATGAACTTTTTCAATAGTATTGGTGATCGATTATATTTACAGTGTCTATTGTCTTCCCTTTTCTTTAGTAGTTCTTGTTAAGAGAAGAATTTTTGGTTTTGCTAGTGTGCTTGCTTCTTTTGGATCAGAAATGAATTTTTTCACTTGGGTGTTGATTATGTCTATATATATTGTAATTGCAGACCATGTGTTCAAAACAATTGATGCCCTACCAATTACTGCTCATCCTATGACTCAGTTCACTACTGGTATTATGGCCCTTCAGGTACTGATTTCTTGCTGTACAGTTTCCCTCTTATTTGACTATATGCATATTTGCTGTATTTTCTAATAAATTCCTGCTGCTATTTCCTGTAGCAATGCTGTTCATTATTGTTACTATGTAAAATTTACTCCTAAATGATAGCTCCTCCTTTTCTTTCTTCTTCTCTATCTCTTACTTGGAATTGGTTGCTGTAGTTCTCCTGAATATGATATTACTGCATTACATTGATAAAAACCTCCAACTAATGACATCTGGCTTTTATTCTTTATGAGTTATCATGTTGAACATTGTTTTTTGTTTGTTTGTTTTTTTTTTTTTTTTTTTTCCTACCAAAAAATTTGCTGCTTTTTTGCATCTTATATACAACTGTCTCTTGTCTTTCTTTTCTTCAGGTTCAAAGCGAATTTCAGAAGGCATATGAGAAAGGGATCCACAAAACAAAGTAAACCATTTCTTATGATGGTTTTATCTTACCTGTCTTGCAGTGTCTTCATCTAGTCAAATGCTAAGGTTGTTTTTGATTCCAGGTTTTGGGAGCCAACATATGAGGACTGCCTTAGTTTGATAGCTCAAGTTCCTGTCGTTGCAGCCTATGTTTACCGTAGGTTAGTAAACCTTCCACAAGCCATTTAGTGATAGTGATTTATGGGTGGTAAATGGTTACATATTGTTAGTGTTTCTGTATATAATACATAAATAAGCAGAAAAAATTGAAAGAAATGAGCTCTCGGGTATTAGAGAGAGAGAGAGAGAGAGAGAGAAAAAGAGCTTTTAAGTATAAGTGTTGAAGTTTCTAGGCATTTTATGTGATTTAGGTGATTTATTACTTTGAAATTGATTGCCTACCGCATATTCTTATGCGTTACAATTGTCCTCTATAGTGTAGCAAAAGATTTAAAAAAAAAAAATTAAATAAATAAATAAATAAAAATATGTAGATTGGAACTGAATGAATTGTCTGTTGTTATGCACTGGTAATTAATGGTTTGGTTTGATCATCAGCTGATTCAGCTGGCTTAATCTCATTTTTATCTTTAATTTTCTTGCTGAAGGATGTATAAGAATGGACAAAAAATACCACTGGATGACTCTCTTGATTATGGAGGGAATTTCTCGCAGATGTTGGGATTTGACAGCCCTGAAATGCTTGAGCTGATGCGGCTATATATAACAATTCACAGGTTAACATTGGTGAGATTGTTCTGAAACCACATGTAATAAAAGAATTTACTTCGATTTTAATAAACTTCAATCTGTTATCATGCAGTGATCATGAGGGTGGAAATGTTAGTGCACACACTGGCCATCTGGTAATGTTTCTGGAAAATAACTTACTGTTAGTTTGCTTCTGCATTTATGGACTTCTTCTCATGCTGAAGAAATATATATTTGAAAATCATGAAGCATCTTTATGCAACCAATATTAATCTTGAGCGTTGGAAATTTGACCAGTTTCTTAACTCTATTAGGTGGGAAGTGCACTCTCAGATCCTTATCTGTCATTTGCAGCTGCTTTAAATGGATTGGCTGGCCCACTTCATGGATTAGCCAACCAGGTATAATATCTTACTTCACCTTTTTTCATTTCTTTGGTTAATTGGTTCTTCCTGCATGATTATCAGCACAAGTTCATACTGCTAATTGCCTGATTATACACTTTTGGTGGAATAAGATCCTTGGGACAATTCTTTTCTTCTTCCTGCTTCTGAAGAGACGCTTCTGTATGTTCATGCCCTCAATTAGCTGCAGACTTATGGGCATGGTCTTCAGCTCCTATCAAATTCTGTAATTACACCGTTGAACATATTTAATTCCAAAAAATTCTCATTTATACTCTTTCTTGGTAATGGTAGTTGTATTTAATTGTCAGTCTCGGACTCTGGTACCTATATCCAACATGAATATGTGTCCAAGTTGGCTACTTTGTGACAAAAGTCCATTATTTTGGTCTGAATTAAAGTGTCCAACCCATGTCCAATTGTACATGGGTTCTTGATGTGAGATGAAGAGGTTAAGTAACATAGTTTTCTATTGTAGTTCAAATAAGTAAACCGCATGCAAATCCTGAATAGTTTACTATGTATCTCTATTAAACCCTCCCTCATTGTATTTTGCTTGGTCCCATTAGTGGCCTGAAATTGCTAATGGTCTAAGTTTCATGTTTGACTTGTTCTGTTTTAGGAAGTCCTGCTATGGATCAAAAAAGTAGTAGATGAATGTGGAGAGAACATCTCGACCGAGCAGTTGAAAGATTATGTTTGGAAGACATTAAACAGCGGCAAGGTAAATCAATGAATTCTTTGTTGCTAGCATATAGTCTCTTCAGTATTTTCAAACTACTAGAACTTCCTTCAGTTCTTAAACCATGGCCCTAAAATTCTTGTGACAAGACTGACAACTATAAATGAAGTACTAGCTTCAGTGGATGATTGAATGATAATTGTAGCAAAAAGGTGGGAACTAACAACTAAGTCATGTTTGCCCTGGAAAATCTTGCTGCAACAAAGATGTTATCATCATTTGCAGGGCTGGTGCATATATTGGTATGAAAATTGGGTGAAACAGCTCTAGTAAAATTAGGAGGTTAAGGAGAGAGAACAGGACACTTGAGCCCTTTGGTAGAGAGGTTACGGAAATATTATTATAAATCTTGTAGACTAGCATCATACATATCAGGAAAACAGCCTAATGCATGAGGGTTATAGTAGATTTGTCATTACCAAAAAAAAACAAAAAAAAAAAAAAGAAAAAAGAAAAAAAGAATGCATACATGAGAGTTTTTTTTTTAACATCATTTTTTGATAATAGGTGATGAAATTGACCATCGAATGAATATTCATATTTGGTTGATAACTATATTTTAATATTTTTTTATATTGGGCATCTTTTTCCTTAATTAATGTTAATTACTTCGTATAATATTTTCTGATAGATATACTGGAGTTGATAAAAAAATTATTATACTATGTTCAATATTTTTGTGTTGGCTCACTTCATACATTTTCAAATTTGTAGGTTGTTCCTGGATTTGGTCATGGAGTTCTCCGAAAGACAGACCCAAGATACACATGCCAGAGAGAATTCGCGTTGAAGCACCTACCTAAAGATCCACTTTTCCAATTGGTACTAATAAATAGATAAAAGGATTCCATAGTTTCTAATGCCATTTCTTGACTTCATACTTTTGAGATGACTTTTTTTTTAAAAAAAAAAAAAATATAGGTGTCAAAGCTGTATGATGTGGTGCCTCCTATTCTTACAGAGCTTGGAAAGGTAGCTGGTTAATTATGCATATTTCCTGCTCTTAATTGTTCTTGCTAAATTTTTCTGATGTTCTAATCAACTGAAATATGCTAGCTTTCCTGAATCCACTGAATATTTTTGTCTTGTAGGTTAAAAATCCATGGCCGAATGTTGACGCCCATAGTGGAGTTTTGTTGAACTACTATGGCTTGACAGAAGCAAGGTACTCTTTGATTTTCCTTTGTGATATATTTTCAAGTTATTTTTCCCTACATCGCAATTAATTATACTCTTTTAACAGGTATTATACAGTCCTATTTGGGGTATCAAGGAGTATAGGAATTTGCTCACAGGTTTGTTCATTTCATTTTTCTGGAAATTGTTTGTCAATTTGCTTTGTAAACTATAGTCAAGTATGGGACCAGTTGTTCATTAATTTTGTTTCCTCTTCTCGCAGCTAATATGGGATCGAGCTCTTGGTTTGCCACTAGAAAGGCCAAAGAGTGTGACAATGGAATGGCTTGAAAAATTTTGTAAGAAAGGAGCATAATTCTACTGGTGTGCGTCGTATTAACTTCTTATTACAAGTTTACAATAACATAGATTAGTGGATAAAATTATCCTTTTGGAAATGAAAGGATAGAGAGGAGAATTAAGTATCCTCTATATCTTGCAACCGAGTGTTGCATTTCGTAATTTTCACATGTACACGGTCATGGATCTCAAAAACACAATTCTAAAGAGTTATATGCTAGAATTTTTTTATCAAGGAAATAAACATTTGCAGATATTAGTGTTATGGTATTTGTTAGTATTGGTTGTAGTAGTCTAATAGAACATGTTAGGCTCTGCTCAAACATGTGAATGATTAAACTTGAGAGTGGCTATTTGCTTGCTGCTTAAACCAGTTTACTGTAATAATCACATTTGTACGCTCACGTAGTCACGTAGGATCTTATTTACATCTTATTTACGTTAGACTAAATTATAAACGTACTTCAATACTTTTGGTTTGTATGCTAGAGAGTAATTACAACTCACTATAATCAGCTCAGCCAGCCTTTGTTCACTGATGACATATATCGACTCGAGTGGTAAACACTACAGAGTAATACGAGTAGAGGTTGGAGTAATCGACGAATTGATCTAATGTGTTTATCTAGCACATTATGTTTAACACTACAGTGTAATATTTTTAAAGGTTGGAGTAAGAAAATTTAGATTAAGTCATATTGTATTACATATGTTACCACCTCAAAACAACATTAACTAATCGTTAAGACGATATCGCCCATTAATGTTATATTTTGTTGCTATGTCCTCGTAAATTAGTAACATTCTCAGTCAGAATAATAACTGTTTAAGAACGATAACTCTTACATTATATTGCCATTATGTTACTCACGTTACGTAAAATCCATGCTTTGTATTACCGTATAACTGAATAATTTAATGTGTAATTTACTGTCCAAGAATAGAATTAAAAGATATGTTTCGAATATTATGGACTTTAGAACAACTACTATAAAATAAAGTTTAGCTTTTCTGCATTATATACAATTTTATATATATTCATTCTTATTAAGAGAGAAAGAGAGAAAAAAACATAATTAACAACAATGGCTACGATTGTTGCTCCTGAGAAGACGTCTCCTATTGATGATGCCTATGTTATCAAAAAATCATGCAGAGGTTTTTCTTTATAAATTTCTCTTTATTTTTGTTACGCGAAATTTTTATTTCTCAAATAACCTTTCTAGCAAGTTTTAAATATAAAATGTATTGAAATTACAACGTCAATTTTTCCTCCTAAATTTACACTTTGCACAATCCTATTAACACGTGAGAATTGAGGAATATAATTAAAAAGTTTCAATATGTGTTGTAAATCATAAAGTAACATCGCATTGTGCCATGGTGGATATTCGGATATTGAATATTTTATATTCAAGTCTAATTTCGATGTTCATATGCATGGTGCATGATGTGCATGTAGCATTGTAGTGTGTACCTGTAGGTTTAGATATACGTATAATCAATTTATAAATGTTTGAGATTCAAAAGGTGAAAATCGATAGTTCATATTTGTCTTATGAAGTTATCTTCTAATTGTTTCTTGTGTTTAGGATTAGGAACCGATGAGAAAGCTATAATTTTATTGTTGGGTCACCGAAATGCAAGTCAAATCAAGCTAATTAAACAAGCTTATCAAGAAGTATATCAAGAAGACCTCATCAAGCAGCTTAAATGTGAAATTTCAGGGGATTTTGAGGTTTGTCATTGAAGCTGCATTTTCTTCATTCATTCTCTAATATTTATAAGCATAATCATCTTATATATATTATAAATTTGTCGATGTTACTATTACTTATTGGTGGGTATTGGAGATGAAATCTTGCTTCATGTAGCCGACCCTATCTTTGAGATTGGCTTCAATTGTTGTTGTTTTTTACTGGACTATGTTACTCGTTGAATTAATTATTTACTTATTGCTTATATTCTTTGTCGTCAACAAAAATCAAAATTAAAAAAGAAAGCAATATGCCAATGGGTAATTGATCCGGTTGGACGTGATGCTATTCTAATCCATGAGGCATTGAAGAAAGCAATACCGGATTACAATTTAGTAGCGGAGATTGTGAGTATCAAATCACCTGAAGAACTCCTAGCAGTTAAGCGTGGTTATCACAAAATCTACAAGCGCGCACTTGAAGAAGATGTTGCAACTCACACTACCGGAAAAATTATAAAAGTACGTTACTTAAAATCTTAAGAATGGTACCCAAAACTCGAGGTCAAATGTCATCTACATTATTGAGTACTTGACTATGCTTTTTTTTTTTTTTTTTTTCGCGCAGTTTTTGGTGGGAATAGTTAGCACATACAAGTACCATGGAGATGAAATTGATGAGATAGTAGCATTCTCAGATGCAAACATTCTTCGTGATGAAATTCAGGATGAACAATCTTTCCACGACGAGGTCACAAGAATTATCAGCACAAGGAGCAAGCAACAACTCTTGGCTACCTTCAATCAGTTCAAGGACATTCATGGAACCTCCATTTCAAGGGTATATACCCTAAATAATTTGTCACTAGATAATTACCTTAAAATTTCATTATAAATTACATTTAAAAAAAGTTAATTAGTCTGCTAATCAGAACATTTATGTGATGAATTAGGCTCTAAGAGGTGCACCAGAACAAGAATTTTTTCAGACTGTAAGAGTGGCTGTTAAATGCATCAAAAATCCTCAAAAGTACTTTGCTAAGGTATGAAATTCAGTCAGTCAGATGCTATGATTAAATTTTTTTTTTTTTTTTCAAGTACAACTTACTCTTTTTTTCAACTAGAATAATGATTGGAGTTAGTTTTCTTTCAAAAGATCTTGCGCAATGCAATTGTTGGACTTGGAACGGATGAAGATGTTCTTACTCGTGTGATTGTTGCACGAGCAGAAATCGACTTGAAAGAAATAAAAGAATTATACTTGGAGAGGAACAACATTTCCCTTGATCAAGCTGTAGCTGGAGATACTTCAGGAGATTACAGAGCATTTTTACTAACTTTGTTGGGAAGTGATGAATATTGAGACCTTAAATTAGAGCATTTCTAATAAATGAGAAGTTATAGGCATTAATCTTTCTAGTTGCAACGATTTCAATAATTCAATGTTATATCGAATTCACCCGTTTCTTTCTAACTCTTAAATTCCCCTTATCATGAATTTTACAAGATATGATGTTCTTGGTTAATAAGATTATTTTCCCCTGTGAAAGAAGTTTAGCACCACCCTCTCCGAAACATGTCAGAGAGAAAAGAAAATAAAGAACATTGCAATGTATTACGCCGGTAATAAATCCTGTATGAACAAAAGTTTGAACACAATCTATGAGAAATAATGAAGATAATATGTGACTTCAGAGTTCAGACCTTGAACACTTTCAAAATTCAGTAGTAAAACTGTTTCTACAATGTGGGAAAATAATGATGGATTTGATCTTAATTACATTATATAATAGTTACATACATATACATATTTGCAGGCTACAATGTACTTCATTACTACTCTAATATACAGGTATAATTTTCTTTCAAACAGGCATCACTTTCCATTCTTAAAAACGACAGACTGCACTCGAATCAGTCTCATGTTCTCTTGCTTTAATGACTCTCTTGCTCTTTCTAACATTTTCGACAATAAACCTAAGTGAAAAAATGTACTCACTACCTCAACCAATAATGGGAGCACCAAGATGTCACAGGAATAATGAATACATTCATGTTCAGAGCTCATAAGTATCATTGATTCATTGGGTCAGAAATATTGAAGGCTTGCAAATTAGGTGTATGAGTATTGTCTACTCAACAAAACTTCCTCTGGATTTTCCACATCATCCCAATCGCATTTTAGAAAATCCGCATTCCCAGCACAAAGCCCGGCTGTGAGAGTGGGGGACATAGGAGGCGCGTAAGAATTAACTGTTGCAAGTATTTAGTGTATTAATAAGAAAACTCTAGTATTTACATGTTAGGTACCCAACACACATAATAATTAATTGTTACGTAGCTAAAATCTTACGAAACAGGCAAAGTAGCAACAGAGCCGTATTCTAATGATAACAAGTAGGTGGTACCATGATATACTATAGGTTATAAAGCTTTATTCATGACCATAAAGGAATCTATGGAAAGGGATTACCAATGCTTACCTTTGAAAGATGGCAGTTTCTCCATAACCTCTTTGGTCATCTGCAGCAAAATCGTTCCTAAGACGACAACAATAAAGCCGCATATTTCTGATATAATGGCAGCTCCATCTTGACCATCCCAATCCTGATATACATTCCACAACACAAGTTAACAACAAAGATTTTTAGACACTGGTGAAATAACCCAGCTACACCATAAACACGAAAAATCTAGAAAACTTAACAGCAAATTTGTAAAGCTATGCTATTGTTGACTCAGAGGCGTGCAACAGTGCAAGTTCCTCAATCCTCTCATAAAAGTTAGAGGAGCCACATCAAAGAACAATGGAACACACAGTCCGATACTGAATTTAAAATTTGCATGCATTCAAATATTCAATCATATGAATCAGGTCAGAACACTGCCTCCTTTATTCCAACAAGTCTGGTTTTACTTCAAACACAACATGATACCAAGAATAATAACTAATGAACCAGTTTAATGCTTTGACAGAATTGATACTAGTATATATCTTCAAAATAAAAGTTCTGATTAGAAGTGGTTTTCCAAATAACAATACAACTGACAAATGTCATCTAGTATGTTTGTTAACTCTAACTCTTCTCCACTGTTTTATAGCCAGTGTCAAGATTGATAGTCTGCTTCATTTAATTCTTAAATGAACAATTACATTGCATGATTGGCAGTTCAAAGACTGTTTATTTGTTAAGGAGTACATCTTAATTCTAACCAGATAGCGGATGAACTTTACCTCTAAAAGAACACGATGCAAGGGATAAAAAAATGGTTTTTTATGAAGCAAGGTGAGTTAAAAGTACCTTGAACATTATCACACTGGCAAGAATTGTAAGTGTTGTGAACATAACATAATATATTGGGGACACAACCACAGTGTTAAAAGTATCCAGAGCCTGAAAAAAAGAAAATTAAAAACCACTTGTTACACAATTTTGCTAACAGATAATGAAATTGGCAGACATTTATTTAAAAGACAGTAACACCAGAAGGAAGGTACATGAGATACCATTAGCAAACAAAATTCAAATATTTAAAAGCCACACCTGGTTACGCAAACCAAGAAAATGTTAATGAGATCATTGTGTCAAAAACGAATTCATAAGAGAGCCTGCTCAAGAAATTAAATGATATTTATGTGAAACATCTATCAGAGCCTGTAAGGCTGTAACAGTCTTAATTTAATATCCTATTCCCATAGTGCCCAAGATATACAC